GATACCTAACGTGGTGTGTGAATTTGCATCCGCAGTAAGGATGTGCAGAAACAATTAACGCGAATGTCCTTAACACGGTGCAACATGAACCCACGAAGCACAAATTAACATTTCACAACGCTTCATGGTATAAGCGATATCTTCCTTTGTTGTTAAGTTGTAGTGCCTTGAATCAAGTGACCATACGGTAACTTTCACCTGACTGTTTTCAGTGAAGGGGTGGGTGAAGTGGGCTCATTATTTTTGGAGGGCTCACTACTTTGTCTTTCGGGGGGTTGCTACTTTCAGGATTTATTGGCGGCCACAATTTTTTGATGTTACTTTCAGGGGATTGCTACTTCTGGGGTGTCGTTACTTTCAGAAGTTTACGGTATAAGCTTAAGCTTAGTCCACATATTTGACACTTGTACACAAAGAGGAGGAGGGAGTCTTTTAAATGTTATTTCTGAAGGGGCAACTGCACACGTCGGCACCTTTAATACATTCTGAAGGGGCATGTGTGTTGGCACTTTGATCTTCCCTTCTGGGGGTGAGGTAAAAAGTTAACGTTTCTGAGGGGGTAAAATTCAAAGCTCCTCAATAAAAGGAGGGGGGCGGGAGGGGTGCGAATATTAAATGCAATGGCCCATACAAAGATTGCGCGACATGATTCTCGGTTTATGTGCCTCTTAAAAACAGACTAAACTCTGATGGATACACATTCAGCATGTATGTCATATGTCATTATCTATTAAAGTATTTACCTAATCAAACTGTGAGGTAATCACACCGCAAAAACAATTTCCAAGAGAGCTTACCTTCGTCCAGGGACGGTCCTTGTAGGTTGTCAACAAACACGTCTCCACATTCCACCTCTTGGTTCCACCTCTTGGTTCCACCTCCTCCGTACCGAAGAAAGTTAGCTTATGACCCAGATCAAGTAACATCACTAGTTCAAGCCGTTTTGAAACAAAGAACAAACCTTTGAAACTACGACAAGCTCTTTTTCTTGCAAACGTGCCAAAATGGCAGAGACGAACTACACTCGCAAAGATCACTGGGAAATAATAAGAAAGTGAGGGAGTAGGCAGCGGAGCGGAGGGACATGAGTGCAAAACATCGCCCCTGACCACAAACACAAATTTTTCAATTTTACTATGGCGGCCAATTTATTATTCTTTTGTTTGCATGTTTATTAAGACCCTATTAGCCCTCTTTGCCTCATTTCCACATCAAAATTCTTTTGTATTTTTACATGTTGACGAGGCAGAGGGTCCCCAATAGGTTTGGCGGGATGCGGGATTTGGCTTTTTGTGCGTACAGCTGTGTCAGGTTTCAAGTAATGACAGAGTGAATAGTGACGGCTCTGTACTCTGTCAGGTTCTGTTAAATGTATTCATTATCGTTTAGTGTCATAAGACTGTATGAGCTCTTTGAGTCCTCTTGCGATCATTTGTGTAGCCTACGTAGCTTGGCGGTTACGTTTTTAAGTAATTTGAGCGCGATAAGCAAGCGGCGAAGCCGCGATAACGAGTGCTAAAGCCGCGTTAAATAAATCGCAAAGCTACACAGGCATCTGTTCCTTTCCGACATTTTCGACTCTTGCAACTGTAATCTTGACTCCCCGATCCTTTCTAGTTTTTTCAGTCTTTCGACCTTTTCTAGAGCGCTTGTCTTGTTTTTGGCCAGGATGGCCACACTGAGTGGCGGTGATAGTGATTTACCCAATGATGTATGCGACATTATAAATTGCGTCACCATATATTACAAAAAGGATGCGTGAGCAGGAATGCCTTCATTGAGAAAGAAACGTTCTGAGGCCAGATTTCAAGGAAAGTGAAGACGCTGAAAGCTCTGAAAGAAACTGTCAAGTGTGTTTACGGGCCATTTCTTGAATATGGGAAATGAACAATCTTTTTCTTTCACTGATATGTGAATAAAAGAAAACAAAACACTAAACCGCTTACAAAAAGAAACGTTACAATCATTTGTGCCTACTTATATGCTACTCATTGAATTCTTTTTTGATCTTTAATGCGATATCTATTTTTAAAAAGTTTCTGAGTTAATAATTAAACTATTTATGTAACAAATTAATAATTAACGCAGAAATGTCTTTGAAAAGTGGGCAGGATCAGGATTTCCAGGCAAAAAAGGACGGGATGGCGGGATTAACAGGAAAAAATGGACGGGAAAGCAGGATCTGAGAGCCCTATTGTGGAGTCTGTGCAAAAAGCACTTAGCCTCGTCACCTTCACATTGACACAAAACATTCAACTCAGAAAGAGGACCCAATGGACTGGACCCAATGCATTGCAGATAGTCTATCTGTGCTATATCAGTCATATAGGGAACATCTTTTGCCCGTACTTTCATTTTCTTAAAGTTAACTACTGCTACTACTACTACACGGTTGGTTCAGGCGGAGAAGTCAAACGGGCAAAACGAAAGTTTACAAGTTCAAACGAAAGGGGCTCTTTTGTTTGTTCTCGTAGATGCCTTTTGCCCATTTGATTTCCACTTTAATCAAAACTATAACAAAATTCTCGAACGTGATTGGCTATCAGCAGCCCGATTTGAGCATTAATTGGACAGTGTACGCGCTATGCTTGTAATTGGAC